CCTTCGCCCCGCCATTGCGGAACGCGGGGGCTTGGGGCAGAGCCACCCCACGCCACGGCCGGGTCCCCGTGCAGCGCTGGACCCGGGGTGCTGGCAGTGTCTCTGCTGTCACCCCCGAGGCTCTGCATTCCCCCCAGACACGGTGGGAGCCAGCAGGTCCCTTCACCTCCTCCCCAGTCCCAGCTGCGTCGGCTGCCTGAGCAGCCCAGCCCTGCAGATGGTGGGTAAATCATGGCTGGGCATGAGACACATGGGCTGGAATTGTATTTCCAAGAAAATGCTCTTTTCGCTTCCGGCAGCTTCGGCGCGCGTGCTGCGGAGCAGCTCTCTGGCCGGCCAGAGCCAGGCTCGGGCGCTGGCAGCACAGCTCGGCCCTCCAGCAGGACGCTGGGGCTGGGGACTGTTAGCCTACACGCACTCTTAATCAGTGTAATCTGAAATAATCAAATTAGAAAGAAACCGCTAATCGCTTCTGATCTCATCGCGTATCGCAGAGCCTAACTCCCGCTGATGGTGGAGCTGCCACCCGCCTCCCGCGGGCAGGGGCTGCGGTGGGGAGAGCCGGCAGGGGCTGCGCCGTGCGGATGGTGCTGCGGAGGGTGCGGAGCTGCTGCGGAGGGGGGCAGTCAGAGCAAAGCTGTGCCCCCAGACCTGTGTTGGCAGCACCGTGTGGGGCTCTGCGCCGCAAACCCCCCGGCTGCCGTAGCTCGGGCGCCCCAGCCCATCTCGCGCTGCATGACCTTCATTTAATCTAGTTAATGCCCAGAGTCTGCTCTGCAATCAGGCAGTATCAAACCTCTCCCCCCACCCCCCCCGCCCCCTTGGTTAATAAACGGAAGGGAGATGGAAGGGGAAAATAACCAAAGATTAAACATTAATCTCCCCAGGGCCTAAAGGGACGGGGTGGGCAAGAGGGGACCTGTTGCCTTTGGGCTCCCACTGCGCTGCCCGGGCCTGCGGGGCTGCGGGGGGGGGCCCTCGCAGGGCACCGGAGGATGCCCCGGCTGCTCCGGGCTCCGGGGAGGGCCAGGATCGGATCCAGCTTTTAAGCAGGAGGGGGGACCGCAGTGGTCCCCCCCGCCCTGCCCCATCCCAACCCCCATGGGGGGTGCCGGCAGGCGGTGCCGAAGGAGGCTGCCCCAGACCAGCTCAGAATCTCTCTTTATTATTTAAATCCATTATGTACAACGACCAAAAATAAAAAAACGCTTTTAAATTCTCTGCGATATGAAAACTACAAGCTCTGTACATCGACTGCCGTGAGTGCAAGAGTGAAGGATCATGGTCTTTGGTGACTAGACTTGCGCCCACGCACGCCGCAGAGACACGCGTACCGACGGCCGGCATCCCCGGCCCCACCAGACCCCCACCGGGACGGGGCGCTGGGACCACAACCTGACACGGCTCGTGTCAGGGGTCCGCCGTGGCGGTGACCGGAGCACGGGGTGGCTCTGGCTCCTGGCACAGGGCTGCGGCGTGGGGAGGGTGCACCGGCGGCACGGCCAACGGAAGCAGAGCTGTGCTCGGTGCCATCCGGGCCGGCCTGCGTGGTCTGCGGGGGGACACCTAGGATGACCGCTAAAACATCTACATCACGCAGTGTAAACACAGCCTGGGAACGTCTGACTACGCGGCCCGGCTGCAGACCCCTTCCCGAGGGGCTGCCGGGGAGACACCGACCATGGGGATGGAGCGGGACGCGGGGGTGGACGGGGAAGGGGAGTTGAAGTCCGTGAAAAAAAAGGCAGTGCTGGACATCCCCTCCGACAGACACGCTGACGGGATTCCCGCCGGGCTGCTGTGCCCCGCAGGGCTCTCCCTGCAGTCCGGACTAGTCCCGACATCCCAAAACACGAGAGGGGAGAACTGAAGACCTCACTTCGAGAAGTACCACGTGGAGCAAGACCCTCGCCCGCTGCGCCAGGGGTCCGTTGGGCCCTGCTCGGCGGCAACCAAGCCCCAGAGCACGACTACAAGCCATGGTTCCTGACTCCAGTAGTGGGAAGCAGCTTGCGCAGCGCAGCGGGGTCGGGAGGGGACACTATTCTAACCAGGACTGTTAACACGGTTGGCCCAAAGCGACACTGTAAGCAGAGCTCAACTGCTCGGCAGAGCCACGACTCGAACACACATTGCTGACTACTGGCCCTGGAGGGGCGATGTGGGTCGGCTGCGGGGACCCTGGGCCCCTGCCCTCCCACAGGGAGACCCAGGAGGGCGAGGGGAGGCAGCCCCATGGCCCCGAACGTCACCCAGGCGCCGCCCGGGGTTGGCATCGCTTTGCAACACCCTTTCGCTCACTGCGGCGCTGGTGACCGACATCTCCAGGCAGTCTGGAAACAGGACGGCAGTGCAGGGCAGGGGGGAGGGGAGCGGAGCCCATGCACCCCCAAACCGGGGAGAGGCACCCGGGGGGAGGCTGCTCGGTGGGAGACCCTCCGCCCCCGGCTCTGCTGTGTGGCACTCGTCGCATCAGAGGGACCTGCCTGGGACCCCCAGGGCCTGGCACCGTGCCCCAAGGGACACGTCAGGGCTTCAGGGAGGGGGAACCTGGTACCCGCACTCTGCCTGCCCGGGCAGACCCCACCATGGGCTCCGACCCCCTCGCTCCACCCTCAGCAGTGGGCCCCGAGGGGCTGCTTCTCCTCCTCTCCCAAAAAGCAAAGGTGCTTGGGCAGAGCTGTGTGGGGATCAAGGTGGGCGTATGGCGGCCACTGCTGCAACCGGAGGAGCCACCAGCGCCAGCCTGGGCCCGAGGAGAGGCCGTGGGGTGCGAGGGCAGAGTGCGGGGGGACCCGGCCCCCAAGGAGCAGTTGCGAGGACCCAGGCTCCCCAGGGAGGCTGGAGTTTGGGCGAGGGCTCTGACCCGTCCTGTGGCCTCCAGGAGGGCAGGACTCAGGATAGATGGTGATGGAGCAAGGAGGGGAGTGCCCGGGCAGGGTATCCCCCCTCAGGGCAGTCAGCAGAGCCCCCTCCTGATCCAGCCGGGGCAGCTCTGGGGCTGTCCCACAACCGTCCCTGCCGTGCCCCCATGCCTGGAGCAACCAGTCTACAGCCCCGGGCATTGCCTCTCACCTCACCTTCGCTCCGCCACGAGATC